TTTTTTTTTTTTTTTTTTTACTTTTTCGTACGGGGGCGTACAAGACGTACAGGTTCCTGTACAGGTTCCCGTACAGACCCGGTACAGAAATAACTTGTACGTTTTGTACGGGAAGCCCCCGTACATGTACTCTATGCAACGTAGAAGCCAAGTATAACAAAAGATCCCAGAAAATGCGAGAATCGATCTAAGTAAAAAACCTTAGTTCAGAAAATGCAGGAATTGACCTAACTCCTATCGCTCTAGCACGAGGCGAGCCTCTAAAGCAACTACCTGTCAACCTGACACTCAAACCAAGGAGTAGCCTCGTTCAGCCTCATGCAGGCCAAACCACAAAGGTAAGTACTCTCGCCACCCCAAATCAATCTTTACAAACAATAGTTCGTAACTCCTCAGTGCCTTATCCCCTTATACCCAGCTTACATAGGGCATAAAGTCAAGCCGTCCAATCTTATGGAACTTGCCTGACTCAGCCAATGAGTATACATGAACAAGTTGCACAACTACTTCTCTCTTCCTTTTGGGCATATGACTAGGTCGTTCATCTTAGAACAAGGCTTAGTCGCCAAGAGCTGTTTAATATCCAAATTATATATACCTCTCTGAGCTTGGTGTTCAGCAACTAGGCATAGGACTGAGCCGTTCATCTTAGAACAAGGCTCAGCCTGCCCAGGGTTACCTTCAATTATACTCTTAATTATACTCTCTTCATTTTATGATAAGCTATAGCCAGGCCGTCCAATCTTATGGAACCCATGCCTGGCTAGCCTGTTCATACATAGGATAGTATAAAATATAGCCAAAATTATAACCTTTGGGTTCCAACATGTGCGTGGCATTGGGCCAGACCGTCCAATCTTATGGAATACATCTGGTCCTTTGCCAGATTCGTTTCTCTCTCTGATTCACTGTGTGAGTGGCATGAGTCCAAGGCCGTCCAATCTTATGGACATGCCCTGCCCTCAACGAAAATTACTCCCTCATAATGAAACAAGAGGGGGGGCTGAGCCGTCCAATCTTATGGACTTGCTCAGACCTCCTTGATCAGAAACAAAAGAAACAGAACAAACCCCAATCAAACACGGCAACCAAACCCTCCAATCTTATGGTACAGGTTTGGCCCCCGAAAAGGCCGCCACAGTCAAACCCTCACAATTCAGAGCAATCAGACCGTCCAATCTTATGGAACTGGTCTGACTCTCCATGCATTTCAGAAATAAACACAGCGGTCAGACCGTCCAATCTTATGGAACTGGTCTGACCCCATAGGACCCATTCAGGCTCCAACAAAACCACCTTTCACCCACCCTTCCCCCAGATGCACCCCTTGTGTTCACAATCTGCCTTCAGGCAATCAACAAACTGAAATTGCGATTGCACTCACATTCCTTTATTTAGTCTGAATTGCGTCTTGTCAGTCAAACCAAAATCAAAATAAGGGTGCATACAATATACTCAGTCAACATAGCAGGTCGTACAAGTAGGGGTTATACGAGGGTGTATAAAGGAGACACAATGGTTACCTGCAAATTCCCTGCCTCCAGAGTCTCGCCTAGGCTCCGGCAGGGCTCTCGCAATTGGTGGGGCGAACCTCCCACAGAGGCCTTGGCGCGGATTACGGGTTGCAATCCCGCCTGTCGGCTTCCTCTCAGAACCAACAGACTAGCCTTAGAGTAAGAAGGGCAGAAGGAGGAAGTTTGAGTCTCTCAGATCCAAGAGAGGTGCACTCAGACTCGCAGAAGAGCGCCTCGATACCTTCGATCGCCTGAGGACCCCACAATGGCGGCCAACACGCAGCCGCTTGGCCAACCTCCTGACGTCAGACTGCCAGGGTCAACACCCTCGCAGACCTCTCAACCTATGACATTCACCTTTCTTCCTCGGCTCTGTCCTCCTCCTACGCCCAAACGCCGCCGCACCGCAGGTCGCAATGGCCACCAGCCAGCCAATTGTGGCATGCATCAGTGCGCCGCAGCCAATAACAAGCCCCAACAACAACACACAGCAGCTATAGTCTATGCCCAGATACAACTGGCAGCAACAGCACACGGCCTCCTGCAGTTAGCCACCACTTGTGAACCACCAAGCAGACGGATGTGCCCAGTACCACAAACAACCTGGTCATCTCACACACTAGGCATGGGCAGCGACACGGCCCAACTACAGATTTCGCAAATGGCGAGTGGCTTGGAGGCCGCAACAGCCCCCGAACGGACGACAGTCACCGCTGACCCGACCAGATTGCACCTACAGTAGTCCGGTAGTCGACGGTCTGCGGCCGTTCTCAGATCACCCCGAACTGTAGCGCTGCATAGGTAGGTACGCAGGCCAACCTGTCATCCACACACTAGGCCCGACACTCCCCCGTCCGGCCTGTCACTGCATAAACCGATGGGATGTACGTCACACCGGTTGGGCAGGCGAACCAGCGGCCCCCCTTTTCCCCAGCCCCATCCACCAACACTAACAACCTGCACACACCAAGTACGTCCTCCCTCCCCTTTGCCTCTTCAACCCCCTCTCTCCCTCTTCCCTCACGAGTCTTCAACACTCAGAGAGTTCACCTACAATCACTCCGGCACCTACTCACGAGCTCGAAACGAAGAATGAACCCTCAGCAAAAATATGAACAGGTGCGCCCTCCTCATTCCTCCTTCGGCACCGGCCTTTATTCCGCCTGACTCCGTCGTGGTTCAGTCGTGGTCTCCGCTTTCCTCCTTCTTCCTGACATGAGCGCGCAACCCCACTCCTACACTAACTAACTCGCTGACTTACCGCAAATTCCAACTCTATATTCGGGGTCGCCAACCCTTAAAACCGCTTCCTAGCACCTTCTCGTGCCTGTTTCCTTTAAGTGACGAGCGAGGTAAGTGATTCCCCCTCCCGCCATATCCGCCATCACCACCCCCTCCACGCAACATTTTTCTTCCTAACTCCTAGTCTACTGATCTTCCTCCGAATCTAAGCTCGCCATTCGACGCGCCCGACCATAAACCCCCAAAATCCCCACTTCTCTCTCCCGATTCTGAAAGGAATCGAGTATGCTACGCATCCTTAGTTGCGCCCAGCCTCCTTTCCGCCCGTGCCATCTCCGATTTCGTTTGTGCGCACCCGGCCCACTATCCCGTCCGGATCCATTCCCCCGCCTCACACCTCACTTCACTCATTAGACCCCCACCGTTCCCTCAGCTCGGCTCACTACCTCAGCGTTCGTTCGCTCCTCTGTACACTCTTCCCCTCTCCCTTAACCCTCTGCGCTATCTCTCGATCGTCGTACCGGGCGTGAATCCGAAAGTTGTCGGGACTATTGTCTGATGTAGACGACGGGGCGGTGGGTTTAGAAGCTGGACTCCGTCACAGGGCCCGGGCGAACGGCCTATCGAGCCGGTCGGCGCCGCTATTTCCCCCCAACACCCCCTACTTCTGACGGTAAACGTACCTGGCGCAACCCGCGCCTAGGTTTCTTCCGCGGCCGCTATCTCCGCCCCGTATCAGGCAGTCTTCCGCTGGCCCGTCCCCCACATTGCCTATTACCACGTAGCATCCGCCCGGCCAGCTCCGCTGGCCCGTGTGTACCCAGCTAACTCCGCGCCCAGATTCATTCCAGGTCTCTGCGCCTCGCCCCTCCCCCTGCGCAGTAATCACGTAGATCTTTTCGACATCATCCCCATTACATCGGCTGTTCCGAAGCACCTGGCCGTGGTGGTACCCGCGGCCCCTCAAAATTTCGGGGCAATCGATCGCAGTGCCACCCCGATATCTTCTCCCCCGGTGCCCCAAGGAGCTTGCCTGCATCAGTACCCCACGGCCCTCTAGGACGACCCCAGGCGGATCCGACCACTTTGACTTTTACTCGCCAATGGCCATCCCCTAAGTTCGAGCACGGCCCGTACCTTGAACAACTCTGTGGTGTGCCCGCTGACCGCACCCTTGGGGTCCTATCAGCAGCCGTGGTGCCACGCCCCAGCGGGACGGGTCTGTTAGATAGGACTAAAAATAAAGGGAGATGGGGAAAAGTGGGTATATAAGGATCGCTAACGGGAAATGGGTATCGATCGTCACCCCGCCCGCCCCGTGGGTCATGTTTGCCAGCAAAACTGAGGGGGATAGCCCCATTGGGCCTTCAACCCCTCAGTTTTCTCCAACACTCCACTGCTCCTTCATCGCCACATGCTGGCCTCGATCCCCAAGTCTCCACAGTAATAGTCCACCGCCGTAACCTATAGGGCTAAGCTCAAGCTTGGGACAACTTGGCGCGGATTCCAATATGAATTGGTGCCGCGTCGTGCCCCGGCCTGGGAGCCACACCCTAGGTCTTCCTTGCCTACCGCTGCTGGCGTGCGAACACCAGGCACCCCCGCCGACCTACTTGGACCACGCCGTGGCCGCCCCGTGCGCCTATCGGCGTGCCAGTCCTACCGTCGGTCGCGCGCGCTAACAAAAAAAAAAGAGTTTTCATCCCCTGAACAAAACACAGACCGGTCCGGGTCGGTCGACTAGACTGGCCGCTCAGTCAATCAGAAAAATCACACGTGCGCCTTAAAACTGCGCGCCCACATGCCTCCTAACTTAGTCGGGACGGATCCCGGACGCGGTCGTGCCCCGCACGGCTTATTTCAACCAAACTCATTTTCCTGTCATTTGCAAAAACCAGGGTGGATACCCTTATAAGGGTATTCGCGCCGACAACGTTATAGAGGAGAAGTCCGAGAAGTGTCAAGGAAAACACGGTGGGATAGAGGGCGATGATAGTGCGGTGTATTCCATCTGGGAGCGAGAGCCTGGAAAGTTGCGTTCGTTGTGCGGGTCATTTGTCGGAGAGGCGAAAGGTGTGTTTTTGTTGGGTAGACCGCACACAGGTCTTGTGTGGGAGTTATTACAGGCAGGTAATAATGTCATTGCCTGCGACGAGTCGGCCAAGGACATTGCATATCTGACAAAGTTCATCGATATACTTGTGAAGGATGAGAGATTCGCCTGTCATGTCGAGAAGCCACGTTGCACACATCGTAGCAACAGAGACATGTTCCACAAGTTGGGACGCAAGAGACTGAAGGTGTGGGAATACCTGTTCGACGATGCGCCGCAAGGACGGCTTGATGGGAATTACATCTACAGGAAAGCAAAGGTGACAGAGACCCTGAAACATTATCACGGTGCTCTTACTGGCGCCTTTGAGACTTTTGTTGCTCGATGCGAGATCCTGAAGTCCGATCTTCATAAAGACCAGTTGACGTCCAAGGACTACGCTGACCTCGCGAAATCGGGTGACGGCTTTAACCCCGTCGACAGCGAGGAAGACTCTTCGGAGTCCGACCTCGAATTGGACGAGAACAAGGGTGGTGAAGGTCCGGGCGGTGGCATGGTGCGGTCACACGATGAAGGGACCGTTCGCTCGCATGAAAGACCCGTACTGGTGGCCGCCCACAGTGTTGGCTCGATGGTGGCCCCCATGGAGGGCACCGGTTTGCCAAACATGGGAATATGTGGTCCCAATGATGAAGATGACATTGATATGTCAGGCGAGGCGTCAAAGCTCGCACCAGGCGATCCAATTTCTCTCGGCTATTGTGCTGATCCGACCACAATTTATTTTTTGGGGGGCAAACACGCCCGCACTGGTGAGGACAAGTGGGGCCATGACATCGTATGGCATGAGGGCATTTTTGAGCCCTGCATCCAAGACGGGGAGTGGAAGATGGCGGTCAAATACACACGCGGATGGCAGACGTTTCGTCGGATGTCAAAGGACACTTGGCTGAAAACGACGAAACTCGTGATTCTGTACCGCGTGCAAAAGGAGAATCCGGGGCAGAGCGAGGGCACTGTCAAAGACAAGGCCAAAGAATTGTTTTCTGTATTGTGAGACAATCAGCAGTTGAAATACAGTTTGAAATTTTACGCCCTGCGAACGAGTCCCTCATGTGGGTCAATCGACTGGAAGGTCAATCAAACTATTGGAACCATGGAGGAGAGCAGCTCTCAGGATGTCGTGCCTTTGTCGGCATCGCCCCCCGTACCCACGCAGGCAGGGCAGAGGGAGGATGACGGGACTACTGTGGTGAAGACTCAAGAGGTTCACATGACGTCTATGTCGCAAATCTCCGTCGCCACGACAGAACCGTCAAAACACATGGATGTGTCAAACGCATTGTCGTCAGATGCAGGTGCCACGTACGGGAGTTTATTAATGGCAAGCGCCGCATTAGAAGGCACATCCGAAATGCAGTTAGAGTCAGGTGTTGGCTTGAGCGTGCCGCACAGTCGGTTGCAACCGGAGTTATGCACAGGCAAAGGTAATGCAGAATCACTGCTGACGCCACAGGGAGAGGCCGCTGCGGATGGTGGGAAGGGAGGGGATGTGGAGGGAATCCTCAATCCTCGCAATCTTGAGACCTTAACCGATGATTTTGATTATGGGGGTGAGGGTGGAAATGACGTGGTCAATACGGGGGGAGTGTGAAATGATCGGTGAGGCGGGAGGGGGGCAATGGAGAGGGAGAAACCAAAGATATGATTACAATGTTATTCTTTTCTTTGTTGATTGAAATCGCACAATTGACTCGTTTGTTTTTAGTTTCAAATGGAACTAGTATTAGCCTTCGTAGGCACTACGACCACCTGATTTCTTTTATGTATATATATATATTTTTCCTCAATATTACGTTCGACCTAAGATGTTTAGAATACTTGCCCTTTTCGACGTGGATGTGTGTATGCGGATGTATTCGGACTTGGATCTCTCTCTCTCTCTCTCTCTCTCTCTCTCTCTCTCTCTCTCTCTCTCTCTCTTTCTCTCTGGCTTGGATGTGTGTATGCGGACGTATGCAATGAGGGTGACCAAGGTGCGAGGAATAAATGATTGATTATATACGTGAATGTCGTAAATGCAAGTAAAAGATAAGAGAAACATTGAAAACATGCATTGCATGCATTAGCTCCCACAAAGCATTTGGCCATGCACTCACCATCCTTTCCCCATCCGCCCGCGTGAATGTCGTTTTCCTCATGTTTGTGGTGTGCAGTGCAAATGACAACAACTGATACAAGATTGTACAAAAGAGGATGGACAGTGCATCTCGCAACTTCGTCTTTATCAAAGAAGGAGACGGCAGCCTTGACGCGTATCATCCGCGAATACGGGAATAGGTATCCCATAGCCACCACACACGACGTATACATGAACGAGGTGTTGCAACTCACTCGCAACGATTTCCTTTTACTCGTTGTATAACGTCAGTGGTTAAACGACAACGTCATCAACTTTTACCTCAATCTCATAGCATTGGACAACTGGTGTAGAATACAACACATAGAATGCGACGCAGAGAATGAGATAGGTATTAGAGAAGGAAGGGTTGCATTCCTAGAGTATCGGTGCTGACCTCATTTTTGTTCGTCAAAGTTTTCGACAATGAAATGAGATATCGAGGCCGAGAGGTAGAACGCTGGTGTCAGGACGTTATCATATGTGACATGGACTTGATAATTGCTCATTTTCATATCTCACACAAGAACCATTGGACCCTTGTCGTGGCTGACTTCAGGAGGAGGAAATTCGAATCTTACGACTCCCTTGACCTCGACATGGAGCTGGCGAGAAAAGTGACCGACGGGTTTGCAAAGTTGATATTCGAAAGATCGAAATCACAAGGCAAAGAGGTGGACACGAAACCATTCAATCACATATGGAATGTAGAGGGCATTCCGAAGCAACATAACACGAACGACTGCGGGGTCTTTGTGCTCACGTACGCATCACTTTTGGCATGGGGCCAACTTCCACCATTCTTTCTCACCGCTGGTGATATACCCGTGATACGTCGTCGAATGGCTTTGGATACAGTGGCTCGTGAGCAGTGTGTAAGTGATAGTCCACAATACGATTTGGAGGGGGGCGGATGTGGATGCCACGAGATGGTTTGTGACAAAAACAATGTATATGAGGTGTCAAATATTCCTCGATACGCTGTGCCACTTGACCATTGCAATTTACCATATATCCCTTACACCTCACCCCTTACACCTTACCCCGTTCACCTCACACCTTACCCCGTACACCTTACCCCTTACCCCTTATCCCTTACCCCTTACACCTTACACCTTATCCCGTACCCCATACCCCATACACCAAACATCTCTTTGTAATGGTTTTTGCACCTAAATTGTCTCAAAAATGACAATTCCAATTTCGTTCAAAAAATATAAAATGTCCGTTTTGACGAAATCGTTGTTGGTGGTCGTCTGCCGGAATGGTTGAAGAGCCCCATCCCCCCGGAAAGGATGGGGTCACCATTCCAGTCTTCATACCCGCCACCTGCATCGTCGTTGCCCACCCCTCATGGTGGACATCAGCACTTCACCAGCCCCGCGACGCCGACGTTCGTTCTGCAGCCGCTGTCCACGCATCCACCACGTGTCCCGGCGACGCCGATATTTGTTCCTCAGCCGTTGTCCGCGCATCCACCACGTGTCTCGGCCGTTTCCCTCCCAGCTGCACTATCAACGGATGGAGCAAGGGAAGCACATGCGGAGTGGTCATGGACGCACTCGCATTCTGCCATGCCATCAACCGGCGAGAAGAGCAATGGCATGGACAGTCGGTGGGCAGTGTACAGCCAAACGGCGAGTGGCCATCGTCCGCCTAGTGAGGGAGTATCGAGCGTGAGGCCTCACGACAATGACGGGGGAGCATCGGTGCAGGATTCCGGTCGTCGACGATCGAGGAACGAATCTCCCACTCATCGAGACATGCGAGACATTCCCGTGTCACCTACCGTCAGATCGTCGAACCTTTCTCCGCGATGCGTGACCGACGTGGACGGTGGTGATGATGACATGGACGGTGAGTAGCCAACAATCGGCAGGCTAAGCGTGGAGGAGGGGACACGAGCTTCATTACCGCGGCCAGACAAGAACAAGCAGACGAGGCCTTGGGTTTTGGAGGAGAAAATCGACCTTGCCGAATGCATGAGGGAGGATGACGCGCTTATGGAAGCCGCTGATGGCAGACACAAGTGTATGAAACGTTCAGAGAGAAACGAGTGGGTGCCGAAGAGGATGGGGGAGAGGGGGTGGAAGAGATCGGCCGAGGACTGCAAGAAGAAATGGTCGGAGTTAACGAGCAAGTTGAGGGTCATCGGGGACAAGTGTGGGGCATCGGGCAAACCCTCGTATTGGGAGACGACAGGGGAGCAGAGAAAGAAGGAGGGGATGTTCCCTGCCTTCGAACAGCCTGTTTGGGAGGCCATGGCTTGGTACAACAACTTGTCGTCGCTAAGGTGTGAAAATACGCTCGCCTCGAGTGCTTTGCAGACAGGGGAGGGAGGGAGCTCCGGTAAAGGTACACCGGAAGGGGGGGAGACACCTGAAGGCGGAGGGACAACGCAAGCAGGGACGACAACAGCCGACGGGGCGTCAAATGCCCGTCCTACATCAGCAGGGGGCGGGACATCAGATGGGCAGGGAACATCGCAGGGTGCAGGAACCTCTCGACGAGGAGGGACGTACGAATCGGAGAGCGCACGGAAGACACGCCGCACGGGCGGTGGGAAAGGTCGGGTTGCAGGAGAGAGCGGATCAGCGGTTTCAAGCATCGCCGAAGCAATGCATGTGTCGACGCGGACGTACTGTGAAGGACTGGACAAGGCGTTGGACAGGGCCGCTGGTGTGCTCACGAAGGCGAGCACCGAAGGAGCAAATGTTGTCGCTGGCAGGATAGGTGACATGGCCACCCAAATTGGCGAGGTGGCGGCCGCCATGCATAAGGGAAATGCGGTGCTGCAGCTGGTGGTGGGTGTCATGGCACGACGAGGGAGCAGCGACGGCGGGCGATGAGGAGACAATGTCGGTTAGCCGCGTAGGGAACGGTACGGTTTCCGAGGCGTGTATATATATATATATAATCTTTATATGTACACAGAGAGAGAGAGAGAGAGAGAGAGAGAGA